GAAGGGAAGGAGAGTCCTGAAGGTTCCAAGTGTTCCCTGAAGAAGGCAGTGATGGTAGGGAAACACCGGGTAACACTGAAGTCCATTTATTAACGGATCGGAGAAATACAAGTGGTGACTAGCGTGTGCCATGCACGGCCCACGGAGTCTGACTGAGACTTGCTGCTATATGGCAGCCTGGGGCAATGTTGCCACATAACACGCAGTGATGCCACGTAATTACATATATAAATGCTACTCGGCACAGTAGCTTAGATATAACCCACAATCCTACCTAGAGTAGCACCTGGCTTTCTTTCATTAACGGGTGGAAGTACATGTTGACATACGCACACCCACAAGCTCTCTCTCTCTCCTCTCTCTCTGCCTCTCTCTCATCTATGGGTGAATGAAGCGTGATGGAAAACAGTGAGGATAGGTTTGGGGCTGACACAATTATGAGACCTCACTGTAAAGGAGATTGATCAGGAAATTGATATGATTGTTACAGGCTGTGTGGTCGAGCCATTAGTGTGTGGTGGGAGGTTGACAGTGTGATGTGTTTGTATAGGAGGATGAGGAGGTGGTGTGTGTGTGTGTGTATGTGTTTTTCCTCCTCCTTCCTTCTTCTTCTTGTTCTTTCACCTCCCCTCCTCCTCCTTCTTCGTTCCCACCCATCTACAACAATTACATTCTTATCTCTAGTTCACCATCATCACCATCACACTATCTTGCCCCACATCTCATCAGCAATGCATGGATCTGTTCTGGTTGAGATTATTGTTTATGGTCGACATCCTAAGAGCCCTGATAGCAGAGTGACAGGCGTGTTTATAACCCCTCCCCGGACAATCCTTGATCTATAGAGGGGAGAAGTTTACCACTGGTCAGCCTGTATGATGCCGTGAGAGGGGTGAGAGGGGTATAAGCAGGAGTGAGGAGATGGAGAGGTAGATAGGGCTGTGAGAGGTGTGATAGGGTTGTGAGAGGGGAGAGGGTTGTGAAAGGTGTGAGAGGGGAGAGGGGGTAAGGTAATGAGAGGTGTGTGGAGGGATTGAGGGAGTGATAGGGTTGTGGAGAGGGAGAGAGGGTTGTGAGAGGTGTGATAGGTTGTGAGAGGGAGAGGGGTAAGGTAATAGAGGTGAGAGGATTGAGTGGAGGATAGGGGTTGTAGAGGTGTGATAGGGTTGTGAGATGGGGAGAGGGTGCGAGGGGGTAAGGAGAGTGGTGATAGGGGTTGTGAGTGTGTGAGGGTTGTGAGAGGGGAGAGGGAATGAGAGGATTATAGGTGTGAGATAGGTTGTGAGAGGTGTGTGAGTGGGACTGAAAGATGAAGGGTTGTAAGGTAATGAGGTGTGTGAGAGGGATTGAGAGGGATATAGGTGTGAGGTGTGTGAGAGGGACTGAGAGGTGTGATAGGGTTGTGAGAAGGGTGAGAGGATGTGAGGATATGAAAGGCAGAGAGGGATTAAGAGGGATACGTGTGTGATAGGTTATGAGAGGTGTGAGGGGTGAGATGTGTGTGAGAGGGATTGAGAGGGAAGGTAGGTGTGTGATAGGGTTGTGGAGAGGGGTGTGAGAGGGATTGAGAAGGATAATAGGTGTATGAGGTGTGAGAGGACTGAGAGGTGTGATAGGGTTGTGAGAGGTGGAGAGGGTTGTGAGAGGTGGAGAGGGTTGTGAGTGACCGAGAGGTGTGATAAGGTTGTGAGAGGTGTGTAATTTTCTGTCCTTTCATCAAATTATTTTCTTCTTCAAATAACGATACGTTGAGTGAATCATAATTTGAGCTTTATTATGCAATTCTATTTTCTATCATCTAATCTCAGTTTACCTTAAGTTCACAATAATGTTGACATGAATATATGAATTTATGACATACATTTCACATTATACTGAATTAATCATATACTTTCATTCATTTTAGTATATTATATGAAACATCATTGCCGTATATGATAAAACATCCTTCCTCTTTTAACTACAGGTGTAATGTGAGAATATTTCATTAACTCAAATAATAGACATAATATCAATCAATTTTACCACAGCTGATTACTGATCCCCTGCTGTTCTGACCTGTGTTGATCCTTCCTCAGACTCCCCGGTGCGCCTTGACCCTGGGGTGGTAGGCGTGGCGCTGGGCGAGGTCACCAACATTACGTGTCAGGTGGATGCTGACCCCAAGAACGTGACTTTTATGTGGACATTTAACAACGCCAAGAGTCAGGATCGTGTTATTGATAGTAAAGAGTGAGTATTACTTTTAGGAATGAGTGAGTATTACCGAGTGAGTATTACCGAGTGTGAGTGACTGAGTACATGGAGTATTACTTTAGGAGTGAGTGTGAGTATTACCGAGTGATTGATAGTGAATAGTAAGTAATATTTTAGGTGATAGTGATTATTATTCTCATGAGTAATAGAGTATTATATTTGAGTGATAGGGAGATATTACTTAATGCTACTGAGTCTCTAGTGTATTAATTATGACTGGAAAAAGATTCGAGTTAATAATAAAGATTCGACAACTCTAATCGAATCAATATGGACACGTGACTCTTAAAGACAATTCTAAAACCAATTATTAGCTAATCAACTAACATCAATTTTCGAATGAATGAATGAATGAATTAAGAGATTTATTGACCATTGATATGAAAGAATGAATGAAAACTTTGTGAATGAGGCAGCTATGAAAAAGTCACTTGTATGAACCGAGTATTGAACCTTTAAATGAATCTTAAGTAAGAGACAACAGGTAGAAAAGTAATTAAGCTTTTTAGAACTAGTGGACGTTATTTCTAGTATGTATGTATGTATGTATGTATGTATATATGTATGTATGTATGTATCTTAGGAATACCAGCCTAACTCTATAGATGAGAGAGAGAGAGAGAGGAGAGAGAGAGAGACACCTCAGGACTGAGATTAGCTTCCATGTGAGATTATGATAAGATATGTCCAGGATTTCTGTCCTTTTCGTTTTTCGTTTGGTGAAAATTGGGGTGGAAGTGAGATGATGGTGGTGGTGGTGGTGATGGTGATGGTGATGGTGGTGATGGTGATGATGGTGGTGGTGGTGGTGGTGATGGTGATGGTGGTGGTGATGATGATGATGATGGTGGTGGTGGTGATGGTGATGATGGTGGTGGTGGTGGTGATGGTGATGGTGGTGGTGATGGTGATGGTGGTGATGGTGGTGATGGTGATGATGGTGGTGGTGGGTGATGGTGATGGTGGTGGTGATGATGATGATGATGGTGGTGGTGGTGATGGTGATGATGGTGGTGGTGGTGATGGTGAATGGTGGTGGTGGTGGTAGGTGGTGGTGGTGGTGTATGGTGATGGTGGTGATGGTGATGATGGTGGTGGTGGTGGTGATGGTGATGGGTGGTGGTGATGATGATGATGATGGTGGTGGTGGTGATGGTGATGATGGTGGTGGGTGGTGTGTGATGGTGGTGGTATGGTGTGGTAATGGTGTTGGTGGTAATGGTGGGTGATGATGATGATGATGATGATGATGATGATGATGATGATGATAATGATGATTATAATGATGATGAGGTTTAAGAAAGGTGTCTGCAAATGATAATGAATAATGATCAGCTGTTCAAGAATCTTGTAATGGTAAATCCTCTGAAATATTCATCCTAATATCGTCTTTTTACCAGCCGCCTCTACTGACCTGACTGATGGATGTTCAGTCTAATAAAAATATCATCGCCTTAATATTATTTGTAGGGTTAATTAAAGGAAAGGAAGGTGGAGGGGAGGGTCACTCTCTTAGCTCTATACCCTAAGGCTCTCACTGCTCTATATACATTACAGGTGAGAGGCTCATTAACACCTGCTGAGATTAACATATTAGGATTTACGTAAGATGTTAATTGTTGATTAGAATAGCAGGTTATGTCAACCTGGTCTTAAGAGAGAGAGAGAGAAAGAGAGAGAAAGAGAGGGGTAGAGGCAATACTCAGACCATCAGACCACACCTGTACTAATTCACCACAATACTCAGACCATCAGACCACACCTGTACTAATTCACCACAATACTCAGACCATCAGACCACACCACTAATTCACCACAATACTCAGACCATCAGACCACACCTGTAGTATTCACCACAATACTCAGACCATCAGACCACACCTGTACTAATCACCACACTCAGACCATCAGACCACACCTGTACTAATCACCAATACTCAGACCATCAGACCACACCTGTACTAATTCACTACAATACTCAGACCATCAGACCACACCTGTACTAATTCACCACAATACTCAGACCAACAGACCACACCTGTAGTAATTCACCACAATACCCAGACCATCGACCACACCTGTACTAATTCACTACAATACTCAGACCATCAGACCACACCTGTATCTAAATCACCACAATCTCAGACCATCAGACCACACCTGTACTAATTCACCACAATACTGACCATCAGACCACACCTGTAGTAATTCACCACAATACTCGACCATCAGACCACCTGTACTAATCACCACAATACTAGACCATCAGACCACACTGTAGTAATTCACCATATTATCATTCATTGGGTCGCCTCACACCTGGAGCTGAACAAAAGGAAGTAATATGTATAGTTAAATGAGTTATTGTAATCAGGTAACTCAGTGTGTCGAACTGTATAAAAGACTCTGTATAAACGTATGTCTGAGTGTGTATATCAATCCATTCATCTATCTATCTATCTATCTATCTATCTATCTATCTATCTATCCATCCTTATTAATATATTTTTATTTACTCTCTCTCTCTCTCTCTCTCTCTCTCTCTCTCTCTCTCTCCTTCAACATCAATTCCTCATCCAAACTCATCCACCTCTCTCTTCCCATCACCTCTCCCATCATCCACCTCACCCACATTCATCCACCTCTCTCTCCATCACCTCTCCCAAATTCATCCACCTCTCACCACACACACAACATCCATACCTCACCCACTCATCCACCTCTCTCATCCACACAGCCACATCAGCGGGACTAACCAGTATCCTAGTTATCGCCCCCACAGTACAGGACTACGGCGTGTTGTCTTGCTACGGAACCAACATCCTAGGAACAAGTCTGAACCCCTGTACCTTTACTCTAGTCACGGCAGGTAATTTTTTAATTTTGGTAGTGTGCTGTTGTTGTTTTCTTGTTATTATTGTTGTTATTTTTGTTATTTTCTCTTGTTTATTATTTTTATTGTTTTCTTATTATTGTTGTCATCGTCATGTACTTTAGTTATTCTTGTTGTTATTGTTTTGGTCATGTTATTGTTTTGTTGTTTCGTCATTGTTGTTGTTAGTTGTTTTTGTTATTATTAGTATTTTTTGTTATTATTCTCGTGTTATTCTTGTTTTGTTTTGGTCTCGTTGTTTATTTGTTATTATTATTCTTGTTGTTTTTATTATTATTATTTTTTATTATTTTCTCTTGTTAAATATTGTTGTCATTGTTGGTGAAATTCTTATTATTATTGTATCTTATTATTTGTTCATCTGTCTGTCTGTCTGTCTATCTGTCTGTCTTAACTGTTTCACTCACTCCTTACC